GGGTTGTTAACCAATGTCATAAAACAACATGTGTACTACTGTTTCATGAGAAACTATTTGTTCTGTAAGCTTTCGCCTGAAGTACAAGAAAAGAAAAAGAAAAAAATACAGTATTGAGGCAAAAATAGTTCTCATATTTTTCCTACTTACTCCTCCCGTGCTGTTTGAAATTTAATACAATATCTAGTTATCTTTAATTAGTTGTTGTAATAAAATGATTACCAGTTTCCTATGAGGACAGTAATTTTCATGGGATATAATTCCACTGGAGTAGAAAAAACAAAATAGTTATGCCTTATTTTAAAGCATGTTCAGGAAAATACAAAATTAAAACATGAAATTACAGTACATAAGGAATTTTTTTTCCAAAGGAAATTTCATATGACTCTTTTTATGAACAACGTTACTCTTAACCCTAACCTCTACCTACAGTTACCAGTTGAATTTTCTTACCAGTTGAATTTTCAAATATCCACCTCCCTGAAGTAACATATCTAGACTTAATATCGCCTAAATTAAAAAGAGAGAGAATAGCAACAGCATTGAGAACAACCACAAAAAAGAGATGTTTAAACTTACCCTGTTGGTTGACTATGTCCATAAAATCTGTGTTCCAGAAGTAAGCAGAGGGCACCTAGTCTCGCAGCATATGTAACCCAGGTATTCCTTGTTGATATCCCATATACATTGGCAGTTAATGACCCTTCAATCATCAGAAATACTGGGCCTCCAGGTTTGTAGAAGGCATCATTAACGAAATATCTCTGTGAAGGTAAAAATATTCTTGTAAGTCACTAATTCATGAGGCATTGCAATTTGTGGTTTCTGATAATTGGGTGGCAGCATATTTTGATTTGTCAGATTTGAGTTATGGTCCTGAGATCCCATCTAAATCAATAATGTTGCTCAAGTCACTGTACATGCACACTGGACAAATTTATTTTTTGCTTTTGGTGATAAAATAGACCAACACCAATCTGGCCATTTCAACCATTTTCAAGTGTACAATCCAGTGGTGTAAATGGCACTCACAGTATGTAACCTTCACTACTATTTGTTTACATTTCATGCTAATATTTTAAATTCTAATTTAGAATGTGAGATTCTTGTTTGATTTTATACTTGTAGCTATTTTCTTTTACTCTGAAAGTTTCAACTCCTAACAACGTTAACGTAATTGTTTACTTGCTTTACGCAAATAGTATATAATAACACACACTTTAGAATAACAATACCAATATTAAAAGAAAGCTTGATGTTGCCATGGTTAAGTGCCCTGCTGCTAAATGAAAGATCAGTGGTTCAAACTAACCATCTGCCCTTGGGGATTAATGGAAGCAGACTGACACATCTTTCTCCCAGGGAGTGCCTTCTTCATTCGAACCACTGACCTTTCGGTTAGAAGCCTAGCCTTAAACACTGCACCACCAGGGCTCCTTCTCATAAATATTACAGCCTACAAAACACTGAAGGGCAGTTCTACTTTGTCTTTTATGGTTGCTATGAGTTGGAATCAACAGGATGGCATACAGAAACAACAACAATATTAAGAGAGATAATATGAGTGGTTTCAGTTCTGAGTTAGAAAGGAAAGCCAAGGTAGAGAGGCGGAGAGTGCTGACACACTGTGAGAAATGAAACTAATGTCACAAAATAATTTTTGCATAAAATTTTGAATGAGAAACTAATTGGCTCTGTAAATTTTCACCTAAAACACAATTTAAAAAAAGAAGACTAATAGTATGATTATTGAAAACCTATTTCTTTACAATTGTTTGTTTGTGTAT